TTCATTCAAATTATGTTTATCAAGCATTATATTTTTCTCAGAATGAAAAAGAAAAACTCTCAGAAATGTTCTACATGCAGATTCAATAATACATATTTATGTATTTATTTAAAATTATGCTTTATTTTCCCTAGGGCTAAACCACTTCATTGTTTAAACAACACTGAGGTTTTGGACTGAAAACACAGCAGGTACGCTGAATTAACTCAAGGAAGACTAGAATACATAGAAGACAAACTACACAATATATTAGAATACATGTTGTGATTCTATAACAGGTTTCTTGAAAAGATCATTTTGGGTGACGGCAAATTTGAAACATAGGAGCAGGAGAAACAATGCTGCTGCAGGATTTGAAGTAAATGATTCTGAAAATAAATTCTACTTTTTTTACCCAGACCCCTACAGCTTCCAAACAGTGGGGCAGAACTGAGGGGCAGAACTGAGACCAGGTATCTTAGTTCATCAGGGGCAAATATGTATAACTGAGTATCATGAACATACAGATGGTATTAAACCCAATGCTAATGGATGTTCTCACAGAATGGATTCATATAGATGTTGAAAAAAAAGGGAAAGGGGAATGAACCTGTGAAGCACCTCACAAAATAGAAGGCTAGGGATAGGTAAGAAAAAGGAAGAGAGACACTGCAACATTGCTTCCTATTACCAGTCCACTGATACAGTGGTTGATGGTACTGAAGATCTGCTAACAGATCTAGGAGGGAAGGCCAGGAATAATGCATTGGCCCCTGGTCACACCTCGCTTGCCAGTAGGCCCTCTTAAACATTCCCTCCTGAGTGCCATAGCAGAGGGACCCTTCTGTCTCATTTGTAGCACCCCAGCCTGTACCAGCCCTCATCCAAATATACTGAACTCCGCCCCAATTAACTTCACTAAAAGTCACAATCTTCAGTAGATAACTTAAGGGATGCCCTCACCCTGCTTCTGTTTCTCACCAAAGTGGGGAGAGCAATCAACCAAAGTTCCAGCTTCCTCACAAACTTCCAGCCACCACTTTCTCACTTGAAACCAGTTTGGAGGTTCATTTCCTTCCTTTCCTTCTTTGGAATGTGCAAGTGAAAAAGTCGAACTGGGTAGGAAAAAAAACAGACCAGCCTCCAACAATTATTGTCCACCATATGTTCTGAATTGCAGAAGGGCTAAAATGGCATCACTCCACAAGACAAATCCTGCACAGCTACAGGAAAAGGGCTGTTTTTCTTGTAAGATCACCAGCCAATTCCCACTCCTATTGCTGTCTAGCACGGGTGCTGAGTCATCAGGTCCTACACAATGCTGAGGGCAGGCAAGCCCAGACCACTATTCTGCCTTTGTGCATTAAAAAAAAAAATGAAGTGAAGCCCGATAACCCCACTCAATGCAAGATCTGCTCCGAGTGCTTTTCCAGTGCAAACCAGCCATCCTGTGAAGACATGGTTAATTCAAAGCATTCCAGAATCCTCACACACAGGGCTACTGAGGCTGCCACTATGGGGGCTCTGCTAAGTTCATGGTTGTGGAAATTGTTGATCTACCATACAAAGAATCAATAAAATTCTATGTAATCTCCACAATCCAACAACACTTCCATGAACCAACAATGCATAAAACTCACACTCTCATAGCTTATCCTCATACAATCCACTAGTCTTGGCACCATGATAACATTTTTCCTCATATAATATAATTTCTGAATCCTTTAGGAAACTAAGTTTAAAAACCATTTGAAGTCACTTTCCTTTTGAACAATGACTGACAAGTTTGACTTTAAATGCATACGTTTATTGCTTCAAAAAACTCAAAACTAGGCTAATAACCCTTGTGCGGCATTTTCATTTGCTTTGTTCTTTGAACCACTGGAACACCAACACCTCAACATTCTTTTCCTGTATCTGACTGTGAAAGCAGAAAAGTTTATATGAAAAACGGGCTGGAGAACATTGCTGTAACTCTGCATTAGTTGCAGTAGAGCAAAAATATCTACTTTATTGAAGGAACTGAAACAATGGAGTGGAATGTGATTTATGCTTTAATTTATTTGCTGGATTTTGATTTATGCATAAAATAGCTTGCTCTCTTGCTTGGAAGGCTAATTCCATGGTTACCCAGTCACATATCTTGATACCTACAGCATATACAGTATCAGGTTTCAGCTGAATGAGAAAACATGGTTTCAAATATATGCTATTAAAAAGAAATAATTTCTGAGTTATTTGGTTATCATTAAATAAATCACAGGGAAAGCATAATTATTTATGTATTCTACTCTACTCTGGCTACAAAGATAGCGGGTCAAACTATTTTCCAAAGCATCAAAAGGCAAGACAAGAAACAATGGATAGAAAATAACCAAGAAGAGAAGCAATCTAGAACTAAGGAGAAAATTCCTAATGGTGAGGGCAATCAACCAATGGAATAGCTTGCTTTCAGAAGTTGTGGGTGCTTCCTTACTCTCACTGGAGAGTTTCAAAAAGAGACCGGGTAACCATTTGTCTGAAATGGTATACGGTTTCCTGCTTGAGCAGGGGCATTTGGACTAGAAGACTTCCAAGGTCCCTTCCAACTATATCATTCTATGTTCTAAATGAGGCAAGGCTCAGGTAAAACTGCAAAAGTATAGGATACATCTGTACAACTATTGACATTATAGTAGCTACTTACGGAAATCTGACTGCAGCCAATGCAAACCATGGAAAATTAACAATGGTTTTATATCATGATTCGATTGCCCTTTTAATTTATACCTGGAATGAAAGTTACAGGAACTAGATCAACAGTAAGCAGTATATTTACTTTTTACCCACTTTATTATTTTCATTATACAATTTCTAATTTTTCGATGTATCAAATTTGCTGGAGTTTAGATGTATCATTTATACATAAGATCATATTCTGGATGTATCACAATAATAAAATCAAGACTATACACCATTTGTCAGATTTTCTCGTCTACCTTTCCTATTTATTTTCTGGACCCCGCAGGTACTGAGTATGTTCTTTCCTCATTAAGCTATTTGGATAGTAGGTTTCATCACAATAAATTATGAAATAGTGTAGTTTGCTATATAGTACATGAATGGCATTTAATTTTTATCCAATGTCAACTCTGCAACAAACCTGAATGAAACCATTTGGCTCGTTTTCAGTTGCCATGAGAATGGGAGGGTTGGTGGTGGAATTTTTCTGCTAGACTAAACAATTTTCTGTCCTGTGGGAACCAAGGTCATTCCTGTTTGTTAGACTGGGGAGGGGGGGGCTGAGCCTTCTGTTCTGTTTTTATTCAAAGGAAATGAAAATATATCTGCAATATTGCAGTTGAGATCAATTTTATTGCAATCAAATGGGTGAGGGAGGAGCATCCTTTCTGTTCACTTTTCAACTTTCCCATGTGACAACAAGAGGAAGAAATAAAAAATTTAAAGGAGATAAAAATGCCCAGAAAAATCCTATTTCTATGGTAGCTCTCTATGGCTTTCAGCAGCAGGAAAGAAATACAGGTAGTCCTCAACTTACGACAATTGACCCCAAAATTTATGTTGCTAAGTGAAACATTTGTTAAGTGAATGTTGACTCGTTTTATGACTTTTCTTGCTACAGTTGTTAAGTGAATCACTGCAGTTAGGTTAGTAACATGGTTGTTAAATGAACTTGGCTTCCCCTTTGAATTTGCTTATCAGAAGGTCACAAAAGCTGATCACATGAGCCCAGGACACTGCAACCATCATAAATATGAACCAGCTACCAAGCATCCGAATTTTGATCACATGACCATGGGGATGCTGCAACAGTCGTGTGAAAAACAATCATACTGTGTAGATTACTTTTTTCACTGCTGTTGTGACTTTGAATGGTCACTGAATGAACTGTTGTAAAGTCGAGAACTACCTGTATTTAACCAACAAGTTGACTGAAATTTTTGCTTAAAAAAATCCCTTTGACCCCCAAAAGTTGATTGGGTTAGTTAGGTGTTTATACAACACCCATTTCTCCCCATGATCCAGTTAAATGTGCCCTCCTATTATATTCTCACATGTATTTTCTTCAAAAGCAGGTCTTCCTGAGTTGGAACATCTTCACAAATAACTGGCTTTAGAATTGCAGGTCTCCATCAATGACACGGTAAAAACCGACTGAAAAAAATCATCCAGAAGCAAAGATGTTGCTAAGATAAAATCCGCACTCTCATAAATTATCTTTCTACTTGTTGCTCTAAGGAAGGCCTGCCATCTAGTGGAACTAATAAGTAGATACATTTTATTGAACAAAATGCTTTTGAACTAAGTCTAGTCTTTCTCCTGAATTATTATAATATTTTCTGTTAGTATTCAAGTGTTGAAAAGTAACTGATGTAATGTAGTTATATAGCTCATCTAAAGAAAATAGGCACATATTGAATGAGAGTTTAATATATGCATTTTAGCTAGCATTATAAGAAAACTCTGAAGAAATAAGTACTATTCGTTTAGAGAAGATACCATGACATTATAAACTTTTGAAATACTAATATATGATAGCACCCAGTGATGAAAATGTATGTTTTCAGAGTGCTATATCATTGGATATTTTCAATAGTACTATATATAAATAAAATATGCTTGGTAAATTGTATATATCTGAAGGAATTGATTCAGATGCAGTCACTAATCCATTTGGGCTTAGCGATTGCAGGCAACATATGGAAACAACTGCATCAACATACAGTTGGGACTGTGCCTTTGCTATATTAAGCAGGAAAGTTTTAGCCTGGAAAAAAATTAAATCACAGAACATGGTTTCAAAATACTTCTATCATTCAAAGGATGTATGTAATTGTGCAGCTATAATTATTAGCAGATTATATTAGAATAAGATAATAAAAAGTGATTTAACATTCTGTAAAATAATCTCCAGTAAAGATTATTTTAATTCCAAAACTTTTCTCAAATAATTCCTTTATTTATTTAGCTTTATAAGTATTTACAGATACTTGTGCATATTTGACAAATAAAAGTTAAGGTAAAGTTGTCTTTGAAATAAAATTATGGCAATTATTTTCAAGATTTGACATAGTGTTCTAGAAATAAATGAAGAATTATATATTAGAATGTGTTTGTATGAATCTTTTCCCATGATTTCTACTTTAGTTCAAGTTGGAATCTTGCATATTGTAGTTCATGTTGACCAGTTCTCTTCCTCCATATTTGTTATTGTTATTTTGTAAAAAAGGTAGCATTATATGTTCCTGCCATGTGTACTTCTCCACATAGCCAGCCATGACTTTTAATAGGCTTGGTATTCCCCCATTGCCAATTCTAGTTGTTAGAGGTATTAAGTGGCAAGGAATTTTCACTGGATTTCAGCTGTGAATACAATTCATTTTACATAGGCAGATCACTCTTCACCCAAACCTCAACAGAGTTTACAGAATTCCCATTTGTTTTCTTTAGCCTGATAATTTCAAGGCTAGATTCTGATGTACAGCTCACAATGACAACCCAAACTATGAGATTTATGTCCCTTCACCTGATACTAGGACACAATCACAAAGAACTGGGATTTGCAATGTGATGTTGTAATACAGTATGTTTCATCATTTTTTTTGCTGATGATGTCAATCATTTTAAGTTGAGGGTCACAAAGTATTCTAAGCCACTGTTTTATTGAGCGGACCACACATATTTTCACAATATACCAAACCATGAATTATTCACAAGTCTCAGTATCTGGGTTTACACAAACTAAACCAAATCAAACCAATTTATGTAGAAAAACAGTTTATAGTTGTGATTGCACAGCACATGAGGTTACAATCAAGGATTAATGAGTATTCACTGTCACTTTGGTTCCAGCCCAGTTGTGTGTATGGCTTAATAATGAAGGCTGGAAGCTTACTTGTGAGATGGACAAACTGGAGCATTTACCACTTGTTGAAAAATTAGAAATCAAGGTTTGGTGTAATGGGCATATGTATTAGAAATTAAGTAACAGTTTTTAATTCCACTTTTCATTATCAGCTTCTCCTTTACACAGAGGCTAACCACTGAAAGGGAAAACAGAGGCCCACTGAGACAGAAGGCAAATGCAGTTCTTGCACTGTGCTAAGGTATAATATGATTTATTTAGTTTTGGCTTAGCATGTGATAAGGATTCACTTAAGCTTCCTTTTTTTCCTATGCAGTTGACAGTGTTGTATCAGTTATCAAATTCAAAGAGAAAAAGATACACTTTTTAATTTATGTTTATACAGTAGTAACTATAGGTGGTGAGATACATTTAGCAGTAGTTAGATATGAATGCCTGGGAGTGATACACACAGTTGATCTGGAGGTCCCAAAAACTGTTTTCCCATGGAGCTGTTCCTAGACAGAAGAACATAAAATTGTTCAAAAAGGAAGATTGCCTTCTTTGGATCACCTTCCTCAAATGAACTTTCCAAATGCCATGGCTACATTATTTGCAGCACCAAAACCTGTGAAGAACAGTGAATTGTTGTGTCAGGATCTTGCTACTGAAGTTTTGAGCCGAAATCTGTGTCCTGCATCACCACAGCTGAGAGTGGCCTGAATCAAATCAAAGTTGCTAAGAGGCATTCTCCATCAGCAAGGACTTTCTTTCGTCATATGATAAGAGATAGAGAGTACTTTGGGGAGAGGGAAGCACAAGTTTCCTTATGTTTGATTAATTTCCTTGATGAAAACCAATCAAGAAGAGAAGCAACCTAAAATTAAGAAGACATTTCCTAACAGTGAAAAAAAAAAAAACTCGTGGAAGGCTTGCCTTCAGAAGTGGGTGCTTCATCTCTGGAGGCTTTTAAGAAGACACTGGGCAGCCATCTCCAAGATTCCTTCCAACTCCATTCTTCTGCATGTTTATAGTTTTAGTTTAAGCTGCATGGGAGCACCACTCATAAGATTAACCTCTGGCACGTTTAGGCGTATAGGGGCATTTTAAAGAAACCTTCCACTAGAAAAACGTCAGCGGCAGGCAATGGTCGCAAACTCAATGGGGAGAAAACCCATTCCAAGTTCCGATATTTATTCCCAGTACGCCTAACTCCGGCCTGAGGTAGGACTGGGGAACAAGGACTAGGAAACCAGCCTCCTCTCCGCCTTACCGCGGCAAACTAGGCCCCAAAACACACTTGCCCAAGACAACCGGCCATTCAAAGAAGGGGCACTTTCCGCGGCAGCTGGATTCCCGGTTTTGCCACGTGTGAATCTTGCAGGTGCGAAGGAAAAAAAAGAAGGGGGGGGGGGAAGCAAGGACAGTGCAATAGCCTGTGCAGCTGATTAAAGACGATTCGGTCGAACAAGCCGCCGCCTTCTTGCCCTGCCTCTGCGGCTGACGGGATCCGAGCGCGACGGGGAGGAGCCACCGGCTGCTTCTCCTCTGACAAGGCAGCCGGTGAGGGAAGAGAAAGAGGTCGGAGGGACCGGAGAGTCGTTTCGCATGGGCGCGAAGGATGGCGGGCCGGTACCGGGGAAGATGGGCTCCCAGGACGTGCTCAGGGATACCGCCAAGCTGGCTTCCTCCAACGCCCTCTTGCAGGTACCCGCCCCAGAAGATGGGAAGGTGGTGATGGAGATCAGAGGGCGCGCCGCCACCGCCGCCGCCGCCTTTCTCTCTCTTTCCGCCTCTTTTCCCGAATGCCGGCCTCTCCTTTCTCGGACTGGCTCTTTCCAGGAGAAGTGGTGAATCTCAAGCTCCCGTTGAAGTGGAGAGAAGCCGTTTAATGTGTCCAGACACGTCAATAAGCTGCTGGCGAAGCCGGGAGGCAAAGTGACTTCAATAGGCAAAAAATCAGTGGAGTTTCAAAAATCAGTCATAGCATATGTGACCGAAATCTTTCCCTCAACTTCTGTGGCTCGTGAATCATAAGAATCCCAAATGTTGGAAATGATTTTTCTTATTGCAACCTGCTGTCCACTGCAGGAATCCAACGCTCCAGCATCCCAGCCTGTTTAAACACTGCCAGGAGAGTCCACCACCTATAGGGCAGTCTGTTCCATTGTTGAACAGCTCTTTAAGACATTTTCTTGATGTTGACATTTACTTTGTAATCTAAACCTAGTGTTTCCTGTGTCCTGGAACAACTCTGAACAGTTCTGTCCTGTCTTCTATGGGACAGCCCCTGAGAGAGTGAAAAACATATATTATGCCTTCCCAGATCTTCTTTTCTCCAGGATAAACATATTCAGCACTCCCCACTGTTCCAGGACATAATGCCCTTCACATAATAGGATATATGTCTATGGAGATTCTCAATCACAGGTCATGGTTATTCCAGAGGTGCTTTTTCCAAAAGAGAATTGGACTCTCTCGGTTATTTATTTTATTTTATTATTTATACATCCATCCATCCATCCATTCATCCATCTCATACCTATACAACTCTGGGTGGCTTACAACAATATTTCCCACTATTCAGTTAGAACTGAAGAAGCTTCTTGGATGAAAAGCAATTATTTATTTGCTGCCCATTAAGTCAGAACTGAAGAAGCTTCTTGGATGAGAAGTGAAACATTTTCAAAGGAAAAAAACCCAAGAAATTCCAGTTGTCTTTGGAAATAGTACCTTTAGGTCTCTGGATAATTCTAGTTTTCAATATTCCTAAAATGATTCCTGGCTCATATTCTTGAGATTCATCAAGACACCAACTCCTTTTTGTCAATACTGCTGACCTATGTAGTCTCTGCATTTACTATACTTGTGCCTTTGAGTTTTTTTCTTCCTGTTCAGCATTGTTTTTGTATTGAAATTCATCTTGTTGATTTCTGCCTGTTGCTCATCATCCTCCTGAATCTTGATACTGTCTTCTAAGATGCTTTGTTTTCCCTCATCTCTTTGCCATCTACATATTTGCCATTTCTCAGAAATTACCTGCATTTAATCTGAGAAAGTACTTCATAAAAATTATTTGTAGATTCAGTTATTTCAAGACATTTTTGGCAAATGGCAGAATATGTAAGGTTAAGCTTAACAAAGAATATACGCCTAAGAGAGATTTGCTTATCAGCATCACGTTCTTTTAATAAATACTGTTGGATTTAGAGCTCTTCCTGGTTCTCCTCTTATACTCTTGTTTTCTCTATTTCTCACATTGAATAAATTATTTAATCAATTCAATGCAAAGAGTCAGATGGTTCTCATTTCAGAGAACTGGATAAAGTTCTTATGTTCTCATGTTACCATTTTATTCACAGTTGACAATGAGATAGGTACCATAAGTGGATCTGGTGATGCATGCATTCAAAGGCTAAACCTTTTCCCTGATAATCTTTCTAGTGGTTCATTTAATGTCAAGAAATGTAGAGTGTATGTGTGTGTAGGTATGTGTGTGTGAGTGAATGGGTGTATGTGTGTGTATGTACTGTATGGATGGATGTGTGCATACACACACACACACATGCACACACACATATACATAAGGGGCTTCCAGTCACAGATAAATGTAGTTATTGATTTTACTTTAAGCAAGCATTTTAACAAGATAAAAGTGCAAATATTAGAAAAGAAACAAGGAAGAATAGTGGGAAAGAAAGAAAAGAATATAAAGATTATCTCGTGATCTTTTTACAGTGGTATAAATGCCTTTATATTTTATCCTCTCTAAGATTACATCATAATTTCCTTTTTTCCCATAAGCTATCCTTTCTCATCCTCAGTCCCATAAATCACAAGTTCATTTTTTTCTTTTTATAGCAGAAAGGCCAGAAGGGGTTTCCAGCCAGTGATAAACATATTATTGATTTTCCTTTAATTAAGCAAGTTATTTTTCCCTCTCTGCAAGTTTTATCATCTTCATCAGGCATTCCTCCATTGAGGTTATTTCAAAGTGTTTTCTTTTTTGTGCATTTAGTAGACTTGCAGCTATAATAGTCCTACAGCTACATTGTTGAGCTTCCAACTCTGGAATAATTAAATTGAGCAAAGACACTTGCATTTCCCTAAAACAACTGCCGCCTATAATTTGTAGTGCTAACCCAAAGTAATCTTGTTGTGTAGAAGAATTCTTTGATACAAGTAATAGAAACAGACTCAGGATTGAAAATGTTACTTGCTCTTTAAACAACTGATGGAAGTTCATTCTGAAAAGGCTACAAGCATTGCCCTACAGATTATGTTAGGCTGTAATCAAAACAAACAGCATAGTTCAATAACTATATGGCAATTAAGACTCATTACAGCCAAGTTGTAATTGCAATATGGTGTGTAATTATTTTCTATTGCCATATATAGAATCTTATATAAAAACTATCAATAATGCTGATACCTTTTTGGAAAAGCTTTTCACTATGCTCAGATTTTTACCATTCTGTTCTACAACCTACAATACAGTAGGATTCCTCTTTTCCATGCTGAAAGATTTATTTGGTAATGCAAGCTAATGTTTTTATTTTGAAATGAATGTTAGTAATATTACAAATTAAACTAATAAAAGTTCTATGCATTCCAAGTGTTTCATATTCTGTGAGTGTGATTGAGTCTGAAGGTGAGAAAATGTAATTTAGACTTAATCACTTCAAAGGGCTTGGTCTTGCATGTATAATAAATACATTAAATTTAAGTATCTGTAGAGTTACTGAGTTTGTAGCAAAAGTTTATAGGCAGCATTTTTGAAGTATCCAACTACTGGTATTAGAACAAGTGAATAATCCTATATGTGTATTGAGTAATTGAATTGAAGAGTTTACTATTATTCAGTGGAGATAAGATCATAGTGTTAAGATGAAGTCCTGAAACAAACAAATGTTGAAGTCTGAGTTCATTTACAGCAGGGATCTTCAAACTTGGCCCTTTTATGACTTGTGGACTTCAAATCTCAGAATTCCTCAGCCAGTCCACAAGTCATAAAAGGGCCAAGTTTGAAGACCCCTGATTTACAGATTGAAAGTTAATGTTTGATTAATTTCACTTTTCTTTTTGCAGGTGCTATTCCGGCTAATTACGTTTGGTTTAAATGCTTTTACTTTACGTTATGTATCAAAAGAAGTAATTGGTCTTGTGAATGTAAGGTAATAAATCATAGTTATTTCATAAAAACATGAAATATTAATGGTTCCAAGTTATAATAGCTTTGTCTCTACTTTCTGTCTGGAATAAATATGGATAAATTACTTAACTTTCTGCTGTTTGGTGTGACTCTGCAAGGAGATATATTGAACTGTATAGATGAATCAATGCCTGCACTGATTTTAAGCGCAAATTTGAGTTTGTGATTTAGTTTCTTGAATTAAATGCCTTTTCCTCTAAATTATGTAAATATTTAGTGGCTTTTGAAAATGCTATATTTCCAAAGTCATTCCTGATTTTAATAGATATGCAGTACTTCTGAGTCATTCTTGAAATGACAGTTTTGCTGGTTCTTTATTATTTCAAAATGTGAAATATACTGAGTTTAATTGTATACCAGGTATTGCCAAATGTACTAGTTTTTCTACCTCCCCTTAATTAACAAAAAATTTGGCTGAAAAATAATAGCCACATGTCCAAAACTACACTTCTACCTTTAAAAGAGAGCTGTTGAGTAGCTTTGATGCCTTAATTGATACCTTAATATAATATTCTTTTATCTATGGTTATTCTAGAGCAAAATTATTTCTGACAGAATTTGACATTTAAAATTGATCCATTAAAAGCAATAGAACTCTATGAGAGACCTAAGAAAACCTTGAATAATATTTTCAGTGCGCTCTTGTTTTATGATTTTCATTTTGTGTATTTTTTGATTTTAATTTTTATTATGAAACCTTCAGGAAACTTGTTTTCAGACAGATGAAAAATAAACAATGGGAATACATAGATAAATCTGTGGTATAAATTAATAAAAATCATTTCCACTTTTCTTGATATCATATAATATATACTCAGTGAGTTACAATTGCATAGAAAATGGTAAAATATTATAAGATTATTATTTTTTCTGTAATTAATAGTGTTACTAAGAAACTTAGTATAACATTTAAATATAACTTAGATAGGATCTAGAGAAAAGAAACTTAAAGCTAAAACATGGGGATCATTACCAAGCATGAATATATCTTCTGTTATATTCTGCAGAAATGAGAGTTCTGTCCATTTAAATTGCATTATCTCCCCAATTTTCAAAATATATGTAATCAGGGTAAAGTAGAAAAAACTTCAATGAAATTTTTGATATCACCTCAGATTTTCAACAACTAAATTTAAGATTTTTTTAAAAAAGCTATGTATTTATAAAAGGTTAATTAAAAAAAAACTAAAACTTAAGTACTTTGAAACTTATATAATTTGAAAATACATATTGGGGCAGTTCATATATCCTCAGTTACAAAAGGGAAGCATGTAGTAAATGATTTATAAGCTTATTAATATCCAAATGCCTAGTTTGTGTCTGGCACAACTTCTGTAAGATGATATGACTTCCCCCGGTTGCATGTGTCCCTGGGTGAGTGCAATTCACAATTGAGAACCCTAAGGTAATCAAATATTTTTTGATAGCTATTATTGATAGTTATAATGGTTATATAGTTAATATAACTAAATTAATAACAATATAATAAAATTATTTATAGTAGAAATTATCTTTTTAAAATGAAATTCCCTTTTTCTTTCTTTTTCTTCCCTTTTCCTCCCAAAATATTAGACTGATGCTGCTTTATTCAACAATAGTTTTCTTAGCCAGAGAAGCATTCCGTAAAGCTTGTTTGAGTGGTAGTTCAAGAAGAAACTGGACACAAACATTTAATCTGTTATGGCTAACGTAAGTTTAAATTACTCATTTGAACATTTTAGTTATTGAGTTCTGCAATTTTGCTTGCACTTTTGAAAAGGTAGAGGAGCTTGTTTTTGAAGTCATGATTGCATTGAGAAACAGGCAGTTGAGTTCCTCTAGATAGGATATGAAATTGTCAAGTCACTTGATACTTACCTAAATTGCATCTTAGTTTATCTGTAATAGTTTCATTCTAATTGCATATATTAATTAACTAACGTTTAATTAGGTAATTTAATTTGCCTAATTCTAATTTAATTCTAATTGCATATATTAATTACCACATCTCCATAGACCACATTTGAGAAATTGAGAAAAGCTGCTATTCAGCTTTTGGATGAGAATAATTTTCTTTGGAATAATTCTTGTCCCATTGCCTGGAAAAAGAAAGCAATCTCCAATTTTCAGTGCTAATGTTCCGAAGTTAAATAAACTTTGGAAAGTCAATGCTGATGGGAAAGACTGTGGATCTTTTATATAATACTGTACTCTGCTTTAGTTGAAGAAATGCAAGTGCCTTGTTTTTTTTTAGTGAGTGAAGGAGCAAATAAAAGCGCTCTCTCTCTCTCTCTCTCTCTCTCTGTGTGTGTGTGTGTGTTTGTGTCTGTCTGTCTCTGTCTCTGTCTCTCTCTGTGTCTTTATTCGCACCCATGCATATTTGCATATAACACCTGCAAAATTTGCTCTTTGTGCTGTTCCTTTTTTGCTTTTTGCATTAGGTTATTAGCATTGGATGAAAAATATAGATTTCTCAAATAAATATGTATGCAAAAACCTTATAAGTTGTAATGCATTCCAAGAAAAAGTGTAATTAAACTACAGAAATAATTTACTCCTGCGGATGTAGGAAAAACAGATACACGCACTTTTGAAGCGTATTGTACTGACTCATGGTTTGCAGACATTTCTAAGAATTCAAATTGAAGAAGGGAGAGAAAAGAGCAAGTTATTAATTTTGGCTTAATGGTTTATCTTAACTTTTGTAGAGTTCCGTTGGGTGTATGTTGGTGTGCGTTCTTCGGCTGGATCTGGCTAGATATACTTGAAGTTCCTAATGAAAATGCAATTCCTTACTATAATTTTGGAGTACTTGCTTTTTGTCTTTCTGCTGTGATTGAACTCCTGGGTGAACCTTTTTGGGTTTTAGCTCAAGTACATTTACTTGTACGGTTAAAGGTTAGTGAAATTATATGAAATTGTATTTCTTGGTTCTTTTAAAATTATAATAATGAACAGATGTCTGAAGTTAAAAATTTTATTCTGACATATATTCTGACATTTTCTTATAGGTAAAGTATTGATTTACTGATTAATCTAAATACATTCACTTAAATGCATTAGTTTTATTGAATAACAACAACAATAACAAAAAGAACAACAAGCACCTGCCACATAACACCCCAGACTTAACAATTGTCAATAAGAAAGACAACAAAGTCTGGATAGTGGTCATCGCAGTGCCTGGAGACAGCAGAATAGAAGAGAAAGAACTGGAGACGATAACAAAATACAAAGACTTACAAAGAGAAATAGAATGACTGTGGCAAAGGCAAGCAAGGATAGTAGCAATAGTAATAGGCACCTTGGGTGCAATCCCAAAACAACTGGCGCACCACTTGAACACCATTGGCATTGACAAATTCGCCATCAGTCAATTGCAAAAGGCAGCCTTACTAGGAACAGCTTCCATCCTGCGACGATATCTGTAATACCATCAATTCAAACATGCACATCTGCTTATCCCAAGTTCTTGGTAAGGACTCTATAGGTAGACAAAAATGCCAAATCCAGTCTGAACATCTGGCTGACTGTGAATGAACCATAATACAAAGGTACAAAATGATTACAAAGTACCAAGAGCTGAAAATTGAAGTTAAAGGATTATGGTATAAACTGGCAATGATGATCCCAGTGGTTATTGCACATTGGGTACCATACCAAAAAGTCTTAGACTACACTCAGAAAATCTGCATAGTGATAAAATTTCCAAATGCCAGATACAAAAGCCACACTACTTGGATCTGTACATATAGATTATGATAGCCTAGGTTCTTGGGAAGAACATGATGCGAATGAAGGCCAACGTCAGCTAAAGAACTGGCAGCTGTGATTTCACATGTATATGATAATACCACCTTTTATTTTTGCACAGTTCAAAGCAATGTACATAACTCTTCTGTTTCTTATTTTCCCCACAACAATAACACCGTGAAATGTGTTGGGCTGAGAAAGTCACACCTCTGGTCTCATGCTAAAACTTTTAGTCTCTGGTTTCATGCTAAAACTCCTAGTCAGCACATTAACCAGTGGTGGGATTCAGCCAGTTTGCACCAGTTCGGCGAACCGGTAGCTAATTTTTTGTTGCCCAGGCCCAGAATGGACTTCCGGAAGCAGCATCCACACAGAGAACTGATTGTTCATATATTTGAATCCCACCACTGACATTAACCACTACACTAGAATGGCTAAGCAGAAATGGTGGAAGTGCTATTGCATTGGCAAAATGAGGTTTACATAGAGGTATAAAGATTCTTCTTTTTCATCTCTAGCAATTATTTTTATTATTTTCCTTTCCCTTTCAAAGCTGATGATGGTGTTGTTTATAATACAGAGCCATCATGGCAGGCCTGGAAACATTTGGGACAAGATTTCTTCCATAGTATTGCTTTACTAAGTTTACTTGTTCATCACACTTGACTTCACTGAAATCAATAGGCTTTTTAATCCTGATAACTACCTTATTTTCCTGAAACAAAGCAAGAATAATTTAACTGGGGTCCAGTTCATTATTTCTGGCACAGAGGATATGGATGCCCAAACAGCTAAAAACAACTGAAAATATTGTCCTAAAGAAAAATGGTTGTACTTTGAGAAGTTTCTGCTGTTGTAGAAAGTATTCAAGGCTTTTCAGAGCTGCATATTTGTAGAAATGTTTCAAAATAAGATTTCTGGATTACATGCTTTTTGAATCTTACACATAAGTATTAGGAAGTTGTGTATCTAATAAGATCTTTTTATGTTCTTTACAGGTGATAGCTGAGAGTTTGTCAATCCTTTGCAAATGTTTTTTAACAGTCCTTCTAGTAGTTTTGTATCCACACTGGGGGCTCTATATCTTTTCTTTGGCTCAGGTACAGTTTTCTACCTGCTTTATTACCATTTATTGGATTTATCATATGAATTGATTGTGGAAATTGGAACATTTTCTTTAAGCCATGTCACATTAATGGTGTTCCCAAGCAAATGTATTTATATCCCAGTGCATGCTAGACACATATAACTTTTAATTTAGCATGATGGATAACTGGTATGGATGGAAAACTAGTATATGCTTGTGTCTTGTGCAGAAGTGTCATTGCTACTCTGCCAAGGAGGTGAGATGAACGTAAGGGATGGGTTTGTCTTGAAAATAATTCAGCATTAAATTCCTTACTTCTAGCATTTCCCTCATCATTTTAAATTTCTTGGTCCACGTTAACCTGAGTGCTCACAAATAGAACAGTACAAATTGAAAACTGAGGCTGACAGGTTCCCCCTAGAGAAAAGTCATATTGCTTGCATCCTGTGCCCCTTGGCATCTGCCTCACCATGTTAATCCTTAAACAGGATTGGAGTGGGTGTAATTCCATCACCGTTGAATGTTGCTGAGATTCCCATTTGTTGCTGTTCAAATAAGAATGTTGCTGCCCTGTCCTGTTGACTATAAAACCAATATGAATTATTTTTCCTTTGCAGCTTTTATACACTACCATTCTAGTATCATGTTATATAATATATTTCATGAAATTTTTGGGTTCTCCTGAAGCAACCAAAAAATCATTTCCTATTACTAGAATGGTATCTTTTTTGCCTGCTTTTGGACAAAATGAGGTAAGTCCAACAACTTAAAGAAAAATCCAGGTTACTTCTTGGCACAAGATGCTTGTTGTTGTTGTTGTTCATGAATAGCCAAGTTGTCCTAAGAAATTCGTAGATTAAGTATCATAGTTTAACCACTGAGCTTTTAATCAGTTTTAGTTTCACACTGTCATTTTTCAGGTTTCAGTTGATTACATTCTTAATATTTACATGTTATTGTTTGAAAAAATAGGCATATAATACTTGGTATTCTGTGTACATATTTTTGTCATACAGTAAGATCATTTATAACGTGGATATTCAATATTAGTACCGTATATGCCGGCGTATTAGGCGACCCGGCGTATAAGATGACCCCCGTCTTTATAGCCGGGCCGCATTCCTAGAACGTCGTCTTATACGCCAGAAACTACCAGTATTTCCGGCGTATAAGCCGACTCGGCGTATAAGACGACTCCCGTCTTTGGCGCCGATTTCAGCGCTCGCGGAAGTCGTCTTATACGCCGGCATTTACGGTAAATAAAAAAATCAATATCTGAAATGGGCTGAGACATTTTTGATCTTAGGCTTTTTGTGAGACCTAATTCTAATACTTAAGCAAAGTATATATTTCTGTTTCCAACATAACAATCTTGCTACAAAAATAATATTTTTTTGTTAAGAAAACCTGACAGAATCTTGCAAGTCTGATCTGGCTGTACTTCCTCCTCCTTCAGTAATTTAGAGAAGCATTTGCCTGATTCATTTCCAAATGTTATCTGGCCATTCTAGACTTAAAAATGTTTTGGCTAGGTAACATTTCCTGCAAATTTCTGTCAAGGTCATCTTCCTTATTCTCTTCATGTGGCATATTTCTGTTGCATTAAGGTTTTTCTATATCTTAAGAAGTCACTCCCTCACAAGTAACCATCTGTTCAGCCTATACGTATAAGATGGTAAAGAGAAAATATGAGGAAAATATTTTATTAGCTAGAATCAGAGGCCATTTGTTTATCAACATTGAACTATTCTTGATTAGTTTTTGTAGCAGTGGAGAAGTTATCTCATATCTCTGAGCTCTGTTTCTTTTAAAACTTTATAATATAGGTAGTCCTTGACATTTGATTGTTTAATGACTTTTCGAAGTTACAATGGTCTTGGAAAGGGTAGTTTATGGCCCATAAAGCTCTTCAGAAAGTATTGCACACACACACATTCCTGCGTGTGTGTGTGCAATATGTGATCAGTATCTGGATGCTTGGCAACTTGTACAATTTAGGATTAGTTGCCAAATGCTTTGCAGTCATGTGATGCCATTAGCAATCTTCTCTGCTGCCTTCTCCAGAAAGTCAAGGCATTTCCTCAGAAAGTCAGCAGACCCTCCAGGCCTCCCTCAATGCCCCAGGCACCGTGTGCTCCTTCCCTGGGTTTCTGTCTGCTTAATAACCCAGGAGACTGCTTAATAACTGCAATATCTAACTCTATAAGCAAAAATCTTCCAATGATTTCTCTGAACTTCTAGTGGCCTGATACTTTAAATCCATAGTGTATTCTTAATTATAAAAGAATGTAACAAATTTATATGCTTAAATTAATATTTATTTATTTATTTATGAGACTTATATACCGCTTTAAGTGCAAGCACTCTCTAAGCGGTGTACACCAGTAAGCAATGTATATATATATTTACATTGCCCCCAACAATCTGGGTCCTCATTTTTACCTACCCCGGAAGGATGGAAGGCTGAGTCAACCTTGAACTGGTGAGATTTGAACCGCTGACCTGCTGAACACAGTCAGCTAAAGTGGCCTGCAGTACTGCACTCTAACTGCTGCGCCACCTCGGCTCTGATTATAAAACAGTTATTTTGAATAATCCCATATTATGCTTTGTATTTAAAGTTATACAAATATCATATATAATGCTTTGTATTTAAAGTTATACAAATATCATATATATGAGATGACTTATGTGAATTCAAAATGTTGACTTACCTAGTGCATAATGTGTTCAACAAACTGCAAAGTAGATATTAAATTTAAACAGAATTAAATGATGAAAATAAATGAAGGTCCATTGCTTTAGTATTAGTGTCATTGAATTCATTCGCATGCAAACTGTTCTTTTGATTTTAATGAAACTTGACACTGAATGAAACTACTACTTTTCAGAACTATCACTTCTGAAATGTTTCAGAGAAGAAAAGATTGGGGTTGCTGTAACCTTATTGAGCAAATATTTTTTACCACTTTGATATTAGATTTAAACTTCATCTAGTGGATTTTTATTTATGTAAGCAAACCTTTAGATCCATAGATGATTGTAGCTTTTAGAAATAATAAATGTTACATTGTTCAGAAAATGGCTTTTGCTAATACTGTAGCTGTGCTAGCTGAATGATCTTATATGCACATCATTTTTCAGAAAAGTGTTACTACACCTTATATTTTATCTAGCCTAGTTTATTTTACTATGAAAACATATAGTTAATTCTAATACAAAAAAACCTGAGTAAGGTAAAATGACCGCATTTTAATCTTCTGGTAAACAATTCAGATGTTATAATAGAAGAAATTTCTATGAGCTGCATTTTAAAATGTAGCTGTAAAAATAAAGAGTCTTCCACATTAATACTTGCAGAAACTAAATCAGGAATAGGCAAATATATGTGTGTGTATATATTTAATTAACACCTTAATTAAGACCTTCATTATATATAGTTTTTAATTAGTTTTTTTAGTGATTGTATCATGTATCATGTTGACTGGTATATCGGTGTAAAGTAAATTGAATCAAGCTTGACCCCAAGTGACTTCCTGGATATGTCCATGGAATTTTTTCTGGATGGTGTATGAAGGTGCTTGCCACTGTTTTCTTCCAGGATTTCTTTTTAGCCTTCCTAGCCCTGGTGTTTTTAAACTCAGACAAAGTGGGACAGGATATTTAATTATATATAATTGTTTGTATATATTTCAGGACATTGTTAACTGGAAGGAAGCAAGGCTGACTTGGAGTTTCTTTAAGCAGTCGTTCCTCAAACAGGTTTTAACAGAGGGTGAGTATGAAACTTTCTTCAACTTGAATTTTTTATTCTCAGTCCCCTTCTTCCAACAATAGCAAAAAGAATGTCATTGACTGGCATTTCCACATTTTTTTGGAATTGTTGGAATGGGTCTAGGCTAAAGGGCAATGAGAAGAAACATGCTGATTCCAGGAGATTATTTTAATGGATCTGTTTAGTTTCTGTTCATTGCAAAAGGGAAGATACAGAATTCTTTAAAGACTCTTTGATGAATCTTTGAGAAGTATTTGCTTACTACTTCAGCTTGCAGTCCCATATTTATATCTATCTGTGGATCAATCAAACAGCTGACTGATCTACCTGGTTTAGATAGGTCTCTCAACAGTGATGCTATGTGGTTATATAGGATTAAAATCAAACCAAACACACACAAAAAAAGAAAAATAACAAAAGTAATGGAGGCTGAGGACAAACCAACTTCAATCATAAGAAAGACAAACTTAGTGAGGGGCACATCTTACCTACAGACCACCTGAAGAAGGAACCAAATCTTCAAGGACTTCTGAAATGCTAGCAGGGTCAGGATTCCACAAATCTTGGGTTATAGTGTTTTAGAGGATTCGTGCTGGAACAGAAAAGACATGCTGGATTCTGCCACATGGACATGCTCATCTGAATAGACTTAGGGACAGAAGGAACTAAAGAGAGGTAGCCTTACAAATTACCTGGTCCCATGCTGAGATATGGGGAATCAGGTTATTTATGGACATCTTGAATTGCACTCAGAGCTAATGCAGCTCATGGAGCAGTGGTGTAACAGGGACATACTAAGGTCCAGTGATAACTTCCCAACTTGCTGCATTTTGGACTAATTTTAATTTCCAAGTGACTTTCAGGGATAGCCGCATGTAAAGTGTGTTTCAATGGTCTACTCAAGAGGTACTGAGGCATGAGTGACTATGGCAGTGCTCCCGATTCAGGAAAATATGCAGTTGGTACACAGGTTGGATTAGTTGTTACCTGCTGTTTGAACAGGAGCTGCAAGTCCAGGAGGACCCCAAATTTGCACAGTTTTGATTAAGCAGTGATACCCCATCAAGGACTAAAAATGGAAACCATCAGAGCTAATACCCAAAGCCCCTAGAATTGAACTGAACCTGTTCTTCCCTATTCAGATTCTCTTAGTTTCTAGACACAAAAAATTAACCCCATCACTTGCTTGGCCTGGGATAGAGATATATGACTGAGAATTACTAACATATTGATGATAACTCTCATTGGAGTGTTTGCAAACTATTTTGCTCAGCAGCTTCAGGTAGATGTTGAATATAAATGGGGAGAGCATAGAACCCTGAGAGGCCCCATGAAGAAAGGAGCTTGGAAAAAGCTTCTTTCCATCAACACTAACCACAACTGGTCCTGAAATAAGGAGCAGAACCACTACAATGCTGTGTTCTTCTACTCTTCTACTCCAACCTCAGAATGGTTTCAAGGTCCAGAAGTATAACATGGTATTAAAGGCCACTGACAGATCAAGGAAAGGAAGGGTGGACATATCTGCCTCCCTCCTGCTCCAGAGGTCTTTCAGAAGGACAATCAATGTTGTCTTAGGCCCATGCTCTGGTCTGAAACGTGATTTAAAAGGATCCAGATAGTCTGCTTCCTCCAGAGTTCTCTCAACAACCTTCTCTAAAAGGGGGAAATAGGAAAGAGGATGAAAATGAAAAAGAGGAGGAAAATTTCTTAAGTAGAGTAGACCACAGTTCCCTAACCTTTTCGGCTTTGTGGACTGGTGGGAGGGGGAGAGGGGATGATTCTGCGTGAGCAGTGGGCAAACTCTATTTGTATGAGTGCTGGGAATGTGCCTGCCACTCATACAATTGGAGCATGCACACATGCACTCCCCTGCTGCTTGCCTACCCCTTCTGTGGCCCGGTTCTGAAAGGCTCAAGACCTTGTAGTCGCTGAAGCTCTGGGGTTGGGGACCCCTGGAGTAGACCACTGGCTCCTTAAGCCTGGGCAGGATCACACTTTAGGAAAGAAATACTAATTGAAATATTAATTTTATAGGTGAAAGATATGTGATGACTTTCCTGAATGTATTAAATTTTGGAGACCAAGGTAGGAAAGACTTTTTAACAAAATTTACATGCATGGAAGAAATATATTAATATCTAAACATAGTCTAAAAGCATTTTCATCTGATTTTGACTTTTGATGATAAGTATAATAAAGGCTTGAGAGATTTTGTTGGAGTGTGTTTTCTAATATCAGCGAATCTGATTATGAGGCTAAGATTATAAAATATCACAATGATCAGAAGTGTGTAGTACTTCAGTTTTAAAATCAAATGTTTTGGACTGTCTAGATGCAAGTGGAGCACCTCTGTGCATCTCTTCAATGTAACTGTATCTTTTCCCTCTGTAATGATATTCTGATATCAATATTTATTTATTTATAAAATTATTTGCCACCCCGTTTCATATCCAATGACTCTGGGTGACTTAAAAACATGAAAAACATGAAAAACATCCATTATAAAACAACAGATAAAACATTGTTTTCAAAGCAAAACAAAACACAATACAAAATGAGTTATTGATTAACATAGGTGCCTAAAACTAACTAAAATTAACGTAGGTGCCTGATATTAAGACTATTGCTTTTACCTTTTTGGACCTTGGAACTGAGTTCCCCATTAGAATCACTCTGGCACTGCCATTTAGAAATGCCATGCTCATTTGGACAGTCAAAACCTTCAACATTGTTATATCATACCTGGGAATAAAAAAAATCCCTTTTTTTTGGGCGGTGGGGGTGGGGGAGAGAAACCATTTAAAATGAACTAAAGGGAAGTGTCAAACTCCAATGCATGCATCATTCAAGTTGCCTGCAATTGGTACTGGAATATCTGGGTGTAAATATAGCAAATTAATAATATAGTTGTCAAGAAGGACTGTTAATGTCATATGGCATTAGGGAAGTATCTGTTATTAATCATAATAGTACAAGGCTTAAATTGAAGAAAAAAGGCTAACGCCATGCTAGGATATGGCTCTAATGTAATCACAGGGATATCAAATTTAGTGGGAGCAATTGTTGTATACTCAGCCTCATGAGGGGCTCCTATTGTTTAAACCCAGTGATGCTCTAAGACACGGGTGTCAAACTCGCCACGTCACGTGATGTGTTGCGACGTATCGTGACTCTTGCATTGCTGGCAATGGGGTGAGCGCGGCTTCAGTAGGATGAAACTGGCCTCATGCCGGCAGTTTGACAACCCTGCTCTGAGTAGAGAGGTATAAATAGATCATACATAGCTCAGGTTTCTTGGGAAAAGAAAATATGAAAAATAATAATGAAATTCAAGAGGGTTCCTCACTTATCATCTAGCTATGTTCCAGAAGAGGATGGACATTAAATTGTGATAATCAAGGAATCAATATTAGGGATCTCAACTGATGGTCTGAGCAAACCATCTGGACCAGATAGGACTAATTGAATGGTGTGAGGATTAGGTGAACCAGCTGCTAAATAGTGGGAGGCAAACATTGTCCCTAAGTATTGATTTGTTTTGCTGTGGAATCTTCTGTGGATGCAGGTGAAAATGAGGCAGGAGTTTGTTTCCGAAAGAAAGAAAAAGAAAAAGAAAGAAAGAAAAAAAGAAAGAAAGAGAAAGAAGAAAGAAAGAAAGAAAGAAAGAAAGAAAGAAAGAAAGAAAGAAAGAAAGAAAGAAAGAAAGAAAGAAAACCTAGGCATAGGCCCAACTGGGGGACAACATCAATGCCTGTCAGTAAAGTAGCTATTGATATTTCTGTGGAGACATCAGAATTATGAGGAGTGATATTCAGTATGAATTTACGAATAGGCGAGTGTGGCAATTTTTAATTGTCTCCTAGTGATGCCGTATGTAAACATCAGTCATGCAGGGAACTGATTCTAAGTGTATACTTTCTCTTGATAATGTCATATAGACATCTGATTCCATGTTAATGAAAGAATGAAATAATATATGCTGTATTGGATAAATTGAGACAGCTGACTTTCTAACATGGCACCCTTTAAATATACTGGTCTTTATTGGTCAATGAGTTCACAGAACATTGAATTATAAGGATTGAATTCTAACACATCTGGAAAACATCACATTGGAGATTTCTGCTGTAGTTCAATGGATGTGAAACAAATGCAGAGTTTAGGGGTTTTTAAAATTTTGCCCTTTTATTTTTCTTGGAATTCAAAATGATTTTACATTTGTATGAAATAAGTTTGCCACAGTAATAATGATTTGCTCATTAGTGTGAAATGCAGTGGGTTTTTCTGGTTGATTATTGTTAAGAAAATAAATTATATTATTTTATTTTTAAATTGATATATTGGCTTTAGTCTGGGTTGCAAGTATTATTCATAATAATGTATGTGGATCATTGTAGAACGTTATTTATAATACTTATAATACTTTTACTATCAGTGCAAAATGTAGAAATGTTTTTAGGTAGAGACTAATTTATATTGTGAGCAGATAACAAGTTAATAATAAATATATTAACTGTATTTTTCTCCTCCTTTACAAAGGTGTATATGATATTATAAACAACCTTGGTTCTTTGACAGCTAGATTTATATTTTTACCAATAGAAGAGAGTTTTTATGTGTACTTTGCTAAAGTTCTAGAACGTGGGAAAGATACTAAGTTGCAAAAACAGGTAAGTTTAGTCTTCTCATTCATTAATTTAACATGCTATAGAAGTAAAAGGGATGAAAGTATTGATCAGTGTTTTCTAAAGCATTAATACACATTTTCACTAGAAAGAGAGGAAAACTGATAATTAAGCATAGAATGGAGAATGGGTGTAGGATTTTTTTCTTCTCACGATGTAGAACCTCTATATCAGGGGTGTCAAACTCGCAACATCACGTGACGTATCACAACTTTTTTTCCATTGCTGGCAATGGGGTGGGTGCAGTTTTAGCATGACACATCCAGCCTGCGGGCCGGCAGTTTGACACCCCTGCTCTATATTATGATAGAAAGTTATTTGGTGAAAATGAATGGTAAGAAAATGAGTACGGGTAAAAAGAAGGAATATATTTGTTTCATTTTAGAAATGACTCTCTGAAGTTAATGGAAGGTCTAAAAGGCTGAGGGATAAGTGCATGGATGATATGGCCTCAGAGGCAGCTTCCTCCACCATTAGTCCCAGGGGAACAGCACCTGGAGGAAAATAAATTGTTCAGTTTCTACTTCGGGAGTTCTCAGAAAGATTTGTTTGGCTGATTTCAGAACACGGTGCTGGTTTTCCATCCTTCCAAGAGACTCTTTGTACGTTAATTAGTTTTAGAGTATTTTACAGAACTAAGAAAGAAAAATCTTGATGTATCATGGTTTTCAAAACAAAGTTAAAGGAAACACATTGTTCTATAAGGAATGTATGTGCACATAAAGGTATATATACAGAATATATGTAAATATGCTAAAATTATGCTGGAATTTGTGATTTAAAAACAGGATGTTATTTTCAATTAATTTCACTGTAGTAATTAATTTTCAGTGAAAGTATTCAGGATTGGATTGCTAGCTCTTGAATAAGTAGGAATATACATTTCATATAAGAGTTTGTGAGTAAAATGCAAAATGTTATGCACTGGAGACAAATCTCTTGTGCGTCCAGTCACACTTCGCCAATAAATAACTGTTCTGTTCTGTTCTTGTTCTTGTTCTTGTTCCTGTTCCTGTTCCTATTTCTATTTCTATTTCTATTTCTATTTCCATTCCATTCCATTCCATTCCATTCCTATTTCCATTCCATTCCATTCCATTCCATGTAGAAGTAATATTAAATAATTTACCTACTACACAGGCCTCTTACTGTGGGGAAAAAAATGACGGGGAGTGCTACATGTGCTAGAGTGCTACATGTGCTTGAACTGAGAAAAGACTAAATTTAAAACAAACCAACAGTGCAGGATAATTAAGGCTTGGAAATCTAGGCTGCAGAAATCTGGAAGATCATTAAATGGCAACAAAGAGAATTTTCATCTGCAGTCATCTGAATTTTTGCAGCCTGGATAAAATAGGCCTAAATATTATGTTTATTTTAAGATCTGACTGTTTTGCTGTAAAAGTAAAAAAAAAAAGTCTGATATAGTTTCCTAGGAATGTTGAATGTTCTTGCTTTCCCTATACTGCATTTGAAGATAGCTGTCAAATGTATTTATTTTCCATAGAAGATTTCCCAGTGAAATTAGGATATTTTTAATGAAGCAATTTGTATAGATCAATTTACGTCTGTAACATTCAGCATATCATGTACATTTAAATGTGTCTACTGTCAAATATATTCTATAAAATGTTTTTTGCTTAATAGTCATAACTTCACTGTGACTAGAAAACTAAACATAGCATATTATAAAGATGCCAAGAGTTCCCTATTGCCCTATAAATTTAATACAAATAAATAAATGAATTAAAAAATGATTATTCTGATTATACATTTAGCATAATAATCTTGAACATACAGTTTCCATTAAATAAATATAATTCCTTTTTAGGATGAAATTTCTATGGCAGCTACTGTATTAGAATCACTGTTGAAACTAGTGCTTTTGATTGGCTTAACCATTACAGTATTTGGTTTTGCCTATTCGCAGTTGGCACTGGATCTTTATGGAGGATCAATGCTCAGTTCAGGATCAGGTAATACCTGTTTACTTTCTGAAAAGTATTTCATCAATATCAAATTATGTTTGGAAAGCTTCTTTGATATACTTTTATGTCCAAAAAAGATAGGGAAGATTTGTAAGAATTGATACATAGCAATTATATTACAATTAAATGTTATCAAGAAATGTGATAATTACAATAGGTCTATTGCAGGAGCTATCAGTTTTGGAATGGAAACACACAGATGTCGTAATCAGATGTCAGCAAAAGAGTTTTCTGTAATTATTTGCTTCCATCTCATAGTTGTCTAGATTTTTACTGCCCAGATCTGGCAGCCTTAGATTTATTACATGTTGTTAAGACTGGGCAATGATCTGAATTCAAAGCAGAGAAATGAATCAGAGTGTGTGTAGACATACATTTTACACTTATCTGCATTTCAAGCATCTATTTTCTACAAGATCAGGAAAAGGTGCACACTCTTTCCCTTCAAATCTGGTTTTCTGAATAGACATGCATTGCTCACCAGGATTTTGTTGTGAAAAATTACAGTTATAATGAAGTTTCAGTGCTAGGAATTCTGGGATGGTTTTCTGGGAGCCGCGTCCAGAAATATAATATCTTCCTTTGATGGAAAGATTGACAATCATTTTGAAAGCGAACTCTACATAGAGCAGAGTTCCCCAACCTTTCAGGGTTGGCAGCCCGAGGGGGGAGGAGGGAAAGATGAGATGGTTTTGTGAGAGGGGCAGGCAAGTGCATGAACACATGCATGTGCACGAGCACCCATTGCTCGCGCAAGTGGGGCCGAGAGCACCTGTGATACTCGCTCGAGTGAGACCCAAGCAACCAGCCAACCACTCACATGGTCCGGTTGCAAATAGGCCATGGACCGGTAGTGGGCCACGCCCACAGATTGGGGACCCCTGCCATTGAAGAAGTAGGAAGGGAAATTATGCCATGAGAACCAGTTTTTTTTTAAAAAAATCCTCTATTATATTGTTAGTGGTTTACTTATACGTTCCATTCATCTTGTATAATAGGAGAAGGAAACCTCTGCTCTCTTAGACTTTGATGAAGTAAACTTCTAGCTTCCTTCACTATTGGGCACACTGATTAATGTTGCACAGGGAACAGTAGCCTAGTAGCATCTGTTGGGCTGCAGGTTCCACTCTCGTAATTTAAAATTCAGCAGCAACCTTTCCCTGAGGCATGAGAGAGTTGCTAGAGTTGAAATCACTATCAACTTATTTATTTATTTGGTTTGACTTTTTAGGTAGCAGCTTGATACACTCTATATACATTTATCTGGCTTTCAATGGATGGCTCAATTTTTAATCTAAAATTAATTTTGAAATAAGCAGGATGGATTAGTCAACTGTCTTTTGGCATCTGCTGCTTTTGTGAAAAAGATGTATAATTCTGTTAATGGAATGCACATTAGAAGCAGCCATCTGGCTTGCAATAGGCTTTTTGAGGCCTTTAGTTTGCCTAGTAAAGCTTTCTCTGACATTGATGGAAACCAAGAAAGGAGCAGCCCAGAGCTGTCTTATCAGTGAAATGGACAGCATATAAATTTAATAACTAAAAAAGTAAAATGAATTGCATCCAGAGTTTATCCCATATTCAAATCTATTTATTGATACTATTTGTTATACTATGTTTCCTTTGAAATTGAATACCTGAATCTTTTTATATTATACAGAAAACTATTTTTTTTAAATTGCTAGATTATACTGTAACTTGCTTTTATAATTTATTAATATTTTTATTTGCATTTGTGTACAAAATTAAGGTTATGTGTGATTAATTTACTTGTTTAATCAGGTCCAACTCTCCTTCGTTGGTATAGTTTGTATGTCTTGCTGCTTGCTGTTAATGGGATAACAGAGTGTTTTACATTTGCTTCAATGTGTAAAGAAGAAGTGGACAGGTAATGTAAATTTTAAATTCTATATTCTCTGTAATTTTGAATGAGGAAGAGAATCCAGTTTGTAGAACCTCAGAATAAGTGATAACTTATTAAATTTGATAGATATTCTCCCGTGGATAGAAAAAAGCATTCATTTACATGAGGAACTATTCATGAAATGAAAGATCTAATCTAACTGGGAAGTTTACTGATTGCTAGATAAGTAGTTCACGTATAGAACTCACCTAATCCCTGACAGTTCACCTAGATCAGGGGTGTCAAACTCGCAACATCACATGACGTGTGACGACATATCGCGACTTTTTTTCCATTGCTGGCAATGGGATGGGCGTGGTTTCGGCATGACGCATCTGGCCCGCGGGCCGGCAGTTTGACACCGCTGATCTAGATGTATAATCAATTGGAACTGAAGGGATGATTTTCACTAAGCATCTCAAAATCAAGTTAGGGGTGTCCCCAGTAAATGAAATTGCATACCTGGATATTGTGAGGTTGAGGGTGAACATGATCCTGTGTATAAATCTTCTGTTCTTCCATTCATTCTATTAGATCTACCACTTAGGCATAGGAGATATTCATGAGTACAATTCTCAAAAAGGATAATGATTTGTGAATTATTTATAATAGATTGTTGTCTAATAAAAGTAGTCCTCAATTTACAACCACAGTTGAGCCCAAAATTTCCATTGCTAAGCAAGACAAGTTAAGTGAGTTTTACCCCATTTTATCACCTTTCTTGCCACAATTGCTAAATGAATCACTGTGGTTGTTAAGTCAGTAACATAGTTGTTGTTAAGTGAATCTGGCTTTCCCATTGACTTTGCTTGTCAGAAGGTTGCAAAAGGTGATCCCATGATACCAGGACACTACAACTATCATAAATACATGCTAGTTGCCAAGTGTCTGAATTTTGCTGTTGTAACTTTGAAGAGTCACTAAATGAATGGTTGTAAGTCGAGGGCAACCTCCATATCAAAGGACTGAATTTCAGGTCTGTAGGATGGAGTCCCAAGCTGTATTTGGGGAGAGGTGTTTGTTGAATTGGTTAGAATCTCACCTATTTGAGGTCTTAATAAATAAAACCTGTTTCTTGGTGCAGTTCCTATTGCATATTTATTTGCCAACAGCATAAAGCAACAGAATATATTAACTGATCCTCATTATGTATAACAATATTTAGAACAGAATAGAATAATAGAGTTGGAAGGGACCTTGGAGGTCTTCTAGTCCAACCCCCTGCTCAGGCAAGGAACCCTATATCATTTAAACAAATGGTTGTCCAATCTCTTCTTAAAAACCTCCAATGTTGGAGCATTCACAGCTTCTGGAGGTAATTTGTTCCACTGATTAATTGTTCTAATTGTTAGGAAAATTCTCCTTAGTTCTAGGTTGCTTCTCTCCTTGATTAGTTTCCATTCAGTGCTTCTTGTTCTTCCTTCAGGCGCTTTGGAGAATAGCCTGACTCCCTCTTTTTTGTGGCAACCCCTGAGACATTGGAATCCTGCTATCATGTAACTTTTACTCCTTCTTTTCATTAAACTAGACATACCAGTTCCAGCAACCATTCTTTAAATGTTTTAGCCTCCAGTCCCCTAATCATCTTTGTTGCTCTTCTCTGCACTCTTTCTAGAGTCTCAACATCTTTTTTACATCGTGGCGACTAAAACTGGATGCAGTATTCCAAGTGTGGTCTTACCAAGGCATTATAAAGTGGTATTAACACTTTACATGATCTTGATTCTATCCCTCTGTTAATGCAGCCTAGAACTGTGTTGGCATTTTTGACAGCTGCAGCACATTACTAGCTCATATTTAAGTGATTGTCTACTGGGACTCCAAGATCCCTCTCACAGTTATTACTATTGAGCAAGGTACCACCTATACTGTACGTGTGCATTTGGTTTTTCTTGCCTAAATGTTATTTACTTTTTTTCACCACTGAATTTCATTTTGTTAGATAGCGCACAATGTTCAAATCTGTCAAGATCCCTCTGTATCTTAAGTCTATCTTCTGGAGTGTTGGCTATTCCTGCCAGTTTGGTGTTGTCTGAAAATTTGATGAGTTCCCCATCTATTTCCATATCCAAATCATTGATGAAGATGTTGAAGAGTACTGGGCCTAAAACAGAGCCTTGGGATTCCCCACAGCATACTTTCCTCCATGTAGATTGAGGACTATATGTTGAGTCCAGTTGGTCAACCAGCTATGAATCCATCTGTTGGTGATGCTGTCTAACCACATTTTTCTATCTTATCAAGTAGTCGGTTGTGGTCTACTTTATTAAATGCCTTACTGAAGTCCAAGTAAATTATATTCACAGCATTCATCTGGTCAACTAATTTTGTCACTTTGTCAAAGAATGTAATAAGATTTGTCTGGCATGATCTGTTGTTTACAAGCCCATGTTGGCTTTTGTTTGGTTCTAGGTGTTCACTGATTCATTGCTTGATTATCTTTTCCAGAATCTTCCCAAGTATTGAGGTCAGGTTGATAGATCTATAGCAGTGTTTCTCAACCTTGACAATTTTAAGGCGTGTGGACTTCAACTCCCAGAATTCCACAGCCAGCAATGCTGGCTGTGGAATTCTGGGAGTTGAAGTCCACACGCCTTAAAATTGTCAAGGTTGAGAAACACTGATCTATAGTTTCCTGGATCTATTTTTTTCCTTTTTTGAAGATGGGAACTATATTAGCTCTTTTCCAGTCCTCTGGTAGTTCCCCAGTGCTCCAGAATCTTTGAAAGATATAGTTCAGTGGTTCTGAGATCACATCTGTCAATTCCTTCATAACCTTGGGATGTTATCCGTCTGATCTTGGTGATTTGAACTCATCTAGGTGCTCGCTTATCATTTTCTTGCCCATTTTAACTTGTATTTCTAATCTATTTTTATGGTATTGTTTTTGATAGGTTGGACTGTTTTTTCCTTTTGTGTAAAGACAGATACAAAAAAATGAATTAAGCAGTTCTGCTTTCTTCCTTTTGCTTGTCACCTTTTTGCCACTTTCTCCCATTAATGAACCGATCATTGCCTTGACTTTTTTTTTATTTTTTGAATGTTGAAAGAAGTTCTTTTTGGTTATTTTTTACTTGTGTTGCAAGCCTTAGTTTATTTTGAATCTTAGCTTTCTTCACTTCATCTTTGCAGGCTTGCGTTAATTGCTGATATTCTGCCTTAGTTATGTGCCCCTCTCTCCACTTTTTATATTTGTTCTTTTTGTCTTTCAATTCATTAGAGAGTTATTTAATGCAGCCATGCTGCTTTCTTTTGAGAACTATTCTTTTTTTTCTTCACTGGTATTATGCTAGACCGGGTTTTTATAATCTCACTTTTCAAAGTTTCCCAAGCTTCTTATTTTCTCCTTGAGGATTCTCATCCATGGAATCCTTCCCTAGTTCTTTCTAAGTTTATTGAAATTAGCTCTTTTAATGTCCAAGACTGTAGTTTGACTTTATTCTATTGCTTGTCCTTGCATAATGTTGAATTCCAATATTGCATAATCACTGCTCCCCAAGGTTCCTGTTTTTGATACTGGCCTATTTTTAAAGAAGAGTTGAGGACATTCTAGTTATAAGCTTTGAATTAATTTGTATGTGCCTGCTCTATGTAGAGCAGAGAAAATAATCAGTGAACAAAGGCTTTCAGAGTTCAGGCCATAGAATCTTAGTTATTTTTTTTGAATCTGAATATGCCCGGGTGGCACAGTGGTTAGACTCTACCCATAGCCGGAAGTTCAATCCTGACTGACTCAAGGTTGCTTCAGCATTCCACCTTTCTGAGATCAATAAAATGTGGAGCCAGATTGTTGGGGTAAATGCTGACATTTGTAAACAAATTGGAGAGTGCTGTAAAACATTATGGAGTGGTATATGAATCTAAATGCTATTGCTATTGCTAACCTGTGGTACCTGCTTCTGAAAGTTAGTTGACCCACCTTGCCCTTTTCACTAAACCTTAGAAAAATTACCATGGGTGCCCCCAACTGCATTCAATTGATTTCCTTCCCCCTTTCCTCTCTATCATGGAACTCCATAACGTTTTCATGGAACTTTAGAAAACCTAAAGTAGCATTTTTCCTGTAACTTCCTATTTTGATCCTGTTGGGTCTTGCTAAGGGGCTTACCAACTGCAAACTACAGCAAATTCACCCTGCTTCTTCTACGTTTCTGGTCACTTTCTTTCTTTATGCTTGTTTTGTCTCCAGCAGTCTTTCTGTTGGGTTCAACAGAACTTCTTATGTTCTGCCTTCACTGAAAAATTGGGATACATTCAGATATATCTGTCTTGAAAATAACCCATGTTGAACTGTATAGCACAGTCAAACATCAGCATAGGAAATTTTGTTATTATATTATAAACTGTTTTATGGTAATTTTTATGTCATAAAATGTTTTATAACATTTTATAAAATTCCATGGGAGACATAGGTCTCAGATTTTGAGTGTATTCTGTAAGTTATTCTGTTTGGTTCAAAACGTTTTGCCCTATGCTGCACTGTTTCACCCAGTTAAAGGTTACAGGAAAAAAGAGTTTTAATAGTATATAGATAGGCTTTTCTGCCATTTCCAGTCACTATTTAACTGAGTATTTTTTATATGGTAATAAACATATGGTTACCTCTAGATATGGTCCATTATATTCATGTTCATATGTTCCTTTTTCAAGGAAGATATACATGTGACTCATTTTATTAGCAGCCAGTGAACACCTAACTGATTAATTTGCCTAAATCCACAGAGCTAAAATATTCAGATTTTCAAATATTCTTAGTGATTCCTCACTGAAGTTTTTTTATCTGTCTTAAGCAGTTTTTTTTATCTGTTTTAAGCAGCTTTTAGTCATATTATTTTGAGTGGTAAATTATGTAAATTTACAGGGATAGAATAAAATTCTAGTCCACATTAATAGTTCGTAAAATGGCATCAGGAACTTACTGATAGTCTTATTAAATATATAAAGTGCAAAGTCTTAAAACTAAGCATAGCCATTAATACTTACCC